AACCTAATGGAGAGGGAAAATTAAGTACTAGAAGTGTAGAGTGTAAAAACCGACGCGGCGTGCTACCGCTACACTAGGAGCCTTTGTTAGTCATCTCACTTCAGAGCCTCTTCAACATCCCTTGTCTGTCTGCCGCCACGTTTTACACACCCGATCTCGATTGGTAAGTATACTTACAAAGGATGCCTGATTGCTACCATCGTATTACAACTGATGGTTTGAGTCACATATCATAGTACGCTCGTACGTTCGCCACAGCGTCCAAGCAGGCCCAAATGCGACTCCAAGCTCCACGACACCTACCATCTCGATTCACACACGTAGGCAGGCTGAGATAGCAAACCTCAACCAAATCAAACCAAAACAACCCCTCAATGTCCCTCTCCTATTTTTTGCTGTGTCGCAATCCCATATACTGCGTCCCCCGACTTCCCCTTTTCTTTGTCCTTTGTTGCAGTATATTCAATCCTTATAGTCAGTCTATTCGGTCTAAAAATCAAAGCACAACCTAGAATTACGTATTCAAAATGCTTCTGCCCCTGGTTTTTGGCGCTGCTGCGCTGCTTCTCTCGTATTGCTATGCCAGACTTCGCTACAAGAGGTTCAGCCAATATGCCCACCTTCCTCAAATGCCGACAACTCTCATCCTAGGCCACCTCAAAACCATGGACAGCTTCATCCGTAGGGGAAAGCCAAATTGCCACCCGGGTAGGCTCTGTCACCCCTTCTCCCTCGTCTCCCTTTATTGCATCTAACCATATGGTTATACGATTACTAGATCTTGCCTTCCATGCTATCAACGAAGCCCTTGGGAGGCCACCTTTGATGCTCATGGACCTTCAGCCGTTTGGTCCTCCTATGGCTATAGTTAGAAGCCACGAAGTAGCCGAGCAAGTTTCCAAAGCGTATAAGCAGTTCCCCTATAATCTCCCTAAGATGCCACAAGTCTATGATCATATGGTACACGTGACCGGCCCAACGTCCATCCTGGGCGCCGATGTATGTCCACAAGGCTTCATTACTCTTAGTCGATTATTTCGTATTGCTAACATGTAGCTTGTAACATCTTAGGGGGAAGAGTGGAAACGGTTGCGTAAACGATTCAACGCCGGCTTCGCACCTCAACATATCATAACATTTCTCCCTCGTATTCTCGAGAAGTCATTAACTTTTCTCAGAAACCTAGACGACTTTGTAGCAACCGAAAAGTCCTCTTCCCTCGTTGAACTCACTGGAAACCTGACCTTTGACATTATTACGAGTGTTACTATGGATGTCGATTTTGGTGCCCAGAAGATGGATGAGCCGAATGAATTCACCAGCGCCTACCACGAGCTGTTCGAAACTTACGCGAGCGAGCAAATGGATCTGCCTTGGTTCTTCACATCACTTAAAGAGTGGAAGCGCCGACAGCTCGCGAAGTTTGTGAGAAAAAGGCTCACATCTATTGTTCAGGACGCGTATGCCAATCGGAAACACCAAAGCGAGAAATCTCGGAGTATCCTTTCCCTAAGTCTTGACGATAATATGAGCACCATAACGCGTCGAGCTATTGATGAAGCGTGTGACCAATTAAGTACATTTCTCTTCGCCGGTCACGATACCACAAGTATATTGCTTTCTTGGATGTTTTATGAGCTTTCGCGTACGCCGCATGCAATGCAGTCCCTGCGTAACGAACTAGACAATATATTCGGCCCAGGTTAGTTCGACTGCTCTACCTTCACTCTATTTATACACCGACTTCAGTTTTTGGATGGACAAATGACCAATTAGTTACTGAGTCTTAGATACAAACCCATCCATTGTACAGGACAAGCTTCTCTCCGACAGTGGCCGCGATTTACTTAACCATATGACCCATACGACGGCCGCTATTAAGGAGACCCTCCGTCTCTGGCCACCTGCAGGCACCGCGCGATTAACAAAGCCAGGAGCTGGAATCAAGGTTCAGACATCGACTGGCGAATACAATCTGGAAGGAGTCAACATTTATAACTGCGCAATCATGATCCAGCGCGACCCGGAGGTATATGGCGACACAGCGAATGACTTTGTCCCCGAACGTTGGCTGCAAAACGAGACTGGGACTGGGACTGGGACCAAGCAAATCCCACCCTCGGCCTGGCGTCCCTTTGAAAGGGGGCCCCGCAATTATATCGGCCAAGAGCTAGCCAATCTTGAAGCTCGTGTAATGGTAGCACTCGTTGTCCGTCGCTATGATTTTGTCAAGGTATGTGTTCTAGGATCCGCGTAGTCGTCCCCCTAGGCGAATTACGGAAAGGATTCCCGCTTACATACTTCTTCCCCGGCAGGTTGGGCTTGGCCAGCTTGCAGTAGATGAAGCTGGAAACCCCATTTTAGAAGAGCAAGGTCGCTACAAGGTAGTGTCAGAGATGTACCCGGTAAGTTCACATAACCTGCCCAACTCGCCATGAACGTTTCCGCTGACATGCCTCTCTATAGACACGCCAGGTCACGCCTAAGCCAGTCGATGGAATGATGATGCGAGTGAAGTTGCGCCACGAGACGACCAAGTAGGCTTGTGTTCTACCTGACCAACTCAGGTCATTATGGCCGGACCAGGGGCCATAGGTTGTCTAGACTGCTCAGTCAACCAGACCCTGCCATACAGACCAGTCAGCCAGTCAGTCAGTCAACTAGACCCCCTGCCGCGCGAGGCAGTCAATTGCTGTCCAAGGGAGCCACTGATGTGGCCACCAGACTGACTGGTAGGTGACTAGCCCGCGCGCCATAGTCTGCAGTCCCTAAAAAAGGGGTTTGTGCCCCGGCGGGAGGGGTCTCTAATAAAAATTAAAATCTTTTTTTTAAAAAAGGTTAAAAAATTAGTTAAACCTTTTTAAAAAATTAAAGCTTGTAAAAGAAAATAAAAAGTTTACTGCTACCTGCTAGTTAAGTTTATAACGGTAAACATTTGAAAATACACTTTTGCACTAACAGTAAGTGCTAGGAATGGTAGTTAAAAAAGGGAAGTTGAGTCTCAGCGTGGCGTTGACACAGTTGATACTTTAATTCGCTTTCCAGCTCACCCATTTCTTACTCTTCGCGGGATCGTTCTCGCCTCAGACACCCATAAAGATCTGCAAGGTGCTCCTCAGACTCTGCTAGTTCCCTTCTAAGTTCTGCGGCTTGACGAAGCGCTTTCGAAATTTCTTCGTCTAATGATTCAGGCCGAGATGTTAAAGCTAGAGTCGAACCTTGAATCTGGGGTCCCTGGTTATGTTGCTGAAATAGATTTTTCTGTCCATAATCACGTTTCTGGGCCTTTTCTTTCGGCTGCGCCTGATGCAAGACTGGTTCACTGAATTTTGCCGCCCATGTAGATAAAGGTAAGTGTGGACCAGCAGAGATATTAGAAAGCGTATAAACTAAGTAACAGGTTCCTAGTCCGACAGCATATGTGATAAAGACCGCACGGCTGTCTCCGTATGTTGAATTTGGGTCTAAGTTTCTGGTCCATACAAAACCTAGCCATATGCCAAAGCCAACGAGGAAAGAGTTGAGCGCCGCAACTAATAGCGCGAAAGGCGCTGATATAGTGATGACAGAAGCTATTGAAGGTATGTGCTTTTTAGGTCGATTCGACTCTTCGCGGAGCTGAAATTTCGATGAACCCATAATCCATTGTTGGATTTCCTCGGCGTTAACACACCAGCAAAACATTCGATATTCGCTGCTCGCAGCGTATATAGCCATAATAGCCGATACAAGACTTAGGATGAAGGAACCCCGTGCAGTCCAGTGAGCCTGACTAAGCGCGTTGAGGGACAACGCGGTGATGGCAACTTGTGCAATGATGGAGGCCTATAGAAGTGTGAGAACATAGTTCTTAAGCTAGATGTTTCTTTATGACCAACCGCGACGGCGACAATCTCGCTCTCTTCTTGTACCAACTTCTTTAGTTTAAAAGCAATATTTTCGTCTTTCAGGTTGATGACCTCCGTCTGAAGTTGCCAAATAGAACGGCTACCGAAAACCCAAAGAAGCAGGCCAGCGGGACCGTATAGACCTAGGTAGAAGACCAAGTCACGGGCAGCCTCGAAAGGGGCAGCTGCAACTTTCAAGCTGAACTCAATGAATTGAATAACGGAAGCAGCAGTTGAAAGAGCTGTAAGAGGGTCCATAGCTAATAAATAATCTTGGTCAATCTTCTTAAGGCGATAGTAGCAAAGCTTATAACAGCGAGAGTATTAGGGTTAATGGCATTCAGAATGACGAGAGTAGCATGATTGTGTACCTAATGGACTAAATCATATTACTCAGCCGCAACTCAACACCGCTCAATGATCCGATAGATCCCACACACCCAATAGAAAGGTGCCATACAGGTGCCCTCATTTTCGTGCGGGGTATGTATCATTGAGCCATCTTAAACATCGATAGTGTAAAATGTTGCGGGTGTCACAATCTCACGATTCCTAAGAAACAAAGAAGAGTCCCCGTATATAGTAGTAGCGTAGCTACGAGGGTATTCCGAAAGCCTCGTGCATCAACAAGTGTCATATTCTCCCCCATATTAGCGGTCTTGGTGGTGGATGTGTGTATCATGGTTTATACAAAATATTGCGAGGCGTAAGAGCCGTATTTCAAGGGTTCAGCGGATTGGTTCCGGTGATTGTATTGTTAGCCGCGCCATACCTATTAAGCAAAGAGCTCAGGCAGTTAAACTAGCAATTTCCACCACATGTATCACAATTTGTGCTTACTTTCACTATGAGCTGTTTTACTAAGATTGACATATCTTCTAAAACAAAGAAGGTGTGCGCTATATACCGCCGCTCCGTTTTGCTATCGGCGCTTACAACACTAGAATACCGTGTTTAAGAAAACAGAACTGTGAAACCTCTGCAGTTAACCTAACTCCAACTACCTAGGTAGGTAGGTTCTAATATGGCTTTAAAGGGGGGGGGGAAGGAAAGAAGGGTACCTAACCTAGTAGAGAGAAGAAATTAAGTAGCAAAAGTGTAAAATGTGAAATATGGCACCTTCTGGGATTGAACCAGAACCTTCCGGCCCTCAGTTGGAAACTATACCGACGCGGCGTGCTACCGCTACACTAGGAGCCTGTGTTAGTGGGTGAATAACTCATCATTGACTATGACAGCTAGGCTGACAAGGCCGTCACACAAATCCTCCTGCCGGTGCCCAACACTCACGGCGATTTCTTATGGGCGTTTAATTATTCTAGCGGCATCTTATTAGAGTCACGGATATTGAATGATCCATCTATTAAGATAGGGCACTCAAAGTCCACATCAACACTTTGAAGCACAACCAGGAACTCGAGATATACCGTCATCTAGCTAACACCCCACACGACAGAGAACTTATCAAGGCCAAAGAATACATCCGCCAGCTTAAAGACTCGTTCAAGCTAAAAGGTCTTCATGGTGACCACGATGTTTTCGTCATGAGTCTTTTGGCACTAAGTCTTTCGCATTTTCTGGGGGCACGCCGAGGCCAGCCGTTCCATTCGGATTTTGTCAAGCAAGCCCTAAGTCAGATTTTATATGGCTTATTCTACCTTCACGATATGAATGTGGTTCATACTGGTAAGTTAAACAGATGAAATGTAACTTGTAGATAGTACTAACTAGCAAATAGACCTTCACTTGGACAACCTACTCATTTCTTTGACGGAAAATTCTATAATGGCTGAAATGGAAGAAGCTGAACTATATAGACCATCACCAAGAAAGCAAACCGACGACCGTACTATCCACACGTCTCGAATGATGATGGGAGGTCGCAGTCCTCTTACTATCTGCGACTTAGGGCAAGCTCGTATAGGTGAAAAGCACCGTGGATTTGCTATGCCAACTCAATACCGAGCACCAGAAGTTATTCTTGATATGGAATGGGGTAATCCTATAGATCTTTGGAGCGTAGGGCTTATAGTATGGAGCTTCCTCCTTTTCTTCCTGTCGTCTTCCATGCCGTTTTTTTCCTTCAACGCTAACATTCACATAACAGGCCTGGGACCTCCTCGAGAAAGAGTCTTTATTCCGCATCTACGATAACGAATCCCCGGAGCAGAATGATGCACACCACCTTGCCGCTATGACGGCTCTCCTCGGTCCACCTCCCCCTGAATTTCTTACAAGGAGTGAGAAAACAGTGAAGTTTTGGCATGAAGACGGTAAGTAATACCTTTACCATGCGTCTGCCTGCACCTGCTTGACTGTTGTCAATTATTATAGGACAATGGAAAGGTCCTGTGCCTCTACCTCCAGAAACTTCATTCGAGTCTCTTGCTAGCGCTTTGACCGGAGAGGAAAAAGAAATGTTCGTTAACTTGATGGACTGTTTCCTGTATTGGCTTCCTGAGGAGCTTGGTGATGCCATGCATATGTTCTTCCATCCTTTCATAGGGAATAAAAAACCCAATGAGGAGCCGTTGGAATGAATGACTGCAGAGAGACGCACCTACACCGCTCGTGATGGATCTATCGCTCTATGTTCCACTGGCACGAATCGAACAAGAACTTCGGGCTTTTGGTACATGCCCCCAACCCCTCAAGTCCCTATCTAGATCGATTCGTTGGCCTGGCACATCTCTAAAGTGAACCTCCACGCACCTTCGCCATATGTAGATGTCTTACATGGGAGGCCTATGTTTCGCCGCCGTGCCATGTTGTCACGGAGAAGTGGGTCTAACAGATCCAGTATGTGTAGGGATCGGGTTAACTATAGACCTAATGATCCCTAGTATAAATAGGTCTTTTTCCTACACTAGTTACCACTTAGAACTTAGACCTTAGATCATCTGAATACACTACTATCTGATCGCTTCTGGTGAAAGCACTGGTCAATTCCTTCCAATAGACCAATCTCCACTTCTCCGCGAGACATGTTTGTTTGCTTTCCAATACCTATACGTACATAAGTACATGTGCAAAACGCCAAACGGCGTAGTATAACTTCAGCATGATGCATACTTGATTACTTCTTCTCCCGACTGCGACGCCGCAACTGTTGTGCTCCCCCGTCTTCGAGCGAGCGAGCGCTGCCCCTACTCCAACTGCAGTCGCTCTCGTTTCGCTCATTATGCCCCTAACTGACGTGCATGTGGGCTTCGTCTCCTTTTCCGAAGCCACGCGCATCGACAAGCTGGACTTGCACACATACAAAGTAGACCTAAACCATGCCTTCAGTATTGGAGTAAGTCAGTAATTAGTAATTAGTATAACCTTCATCTCCTAAGAACCCTTCTTGACGGTTATACTGCTTAGTACCCAATGGTGGTTATGTTGGTTCGTCTTGATTGCCGCCAGCAGTGCCCACCTCTCCTCGCGTGACCGACCAACCTAATCTGCTCACATCGCACTTCGAGTTTCCCGCGCAGACGACGGTCGGGCCCGCCATTACCGTCGTCGGGGATGTGAAACCAAGCCGACGACTATCTACTCTCCACATGACCCTCTGGCAGGGTAGGCTTCTATCGCATGCCCCTTGGATTACACCTTCGGTATCGCGGTGTGTGGTGCTGGCATATGCTACCTTTACGAACCTGTGGACCATGGCTGGCGTGACGGAGACGACGGGCTACGAGACAACTTCGGCTGCTGCGCTTCCTAACCTACCCGATTTTGAGATGCTCAAAACTAAGGATGCCGACTCCTCTTGGCAGGTATAGGAGCTGCCCAGGGGCTCCGAATCGTGGCGTTCACTAACAAACTGGAAATTCTACATGCCTCGCGCAGGTCCTTCAACAACGGGCATATTAGACACGGTAAGCAACCGTTTTTCCGTTTTCCACTAGTTCTTACCTCGCTGGTATCCATGCATGGGTATTTGGGTATTTAATACATTGAGAGCATATAGAACTCCCAAAATGCAGCAAGATACGTCCCAGCGACATTATGAATTAAGCTAAATGTCCCAGTGGATTCGTATGGCGAGCGGGGAAAACATCACGTCCGGAGCATTGGCGTATGTCGCAGACTCGTTTCCCTACAACCTACACGCCTTCCTTACGGCGTCGGCCGAGCAGACTCGACGGGATGGTCAGCGCGTGGCTCTGTGGTTCCCAACGCTTACAATGAACCTGGATATGAAAATGGCACTGCCAAAGAAGGGTGTTGAGTGGTTGGATGAGCGGATCACTTCAAAGCAAATCAAGAACGGGATGTTCGATCTCGATATAATGATAAGGAGCGTGGATGGTGAACTAGTGGCCCTGAGTCACCATGTCGCCATGATTGTTGGTATAGAGAGAAACACCGGGACAGGCAAGAGCTCTACACCCAAACCAACCTTGTGAGTCAGTTTAGGCTAGCTACAAAGGCAGCCAGGAACCCGGTAACGTCGTGAGTGCTTCATGCCATCAGAAATACTTAACATATAAGAAAATTAGGTCCCCGAAGTTTCTAAGGAAGGTATTGGCTTGATTGGAAAAATCGGCGGAAAGTCATGGTATGGTGGTGAGATGAGGGCGTCAGGACACACGCACCCCGCTGCAGTATACAAGGTAATGCTAGTTACGATGTAGAAATAGGACGTCCATACCTTTACCTTTAGTATAATATAATACATGAAGTGTCTTCTTGAGTCAATTCACTTTTCATACAGCCATGGACTGGGACTAACCCATCTTCGTCTCGAAATTCCTACTCGGCGTGATAAACGCACAGCACATGAAATATTGCGAATACCGGGGTGGAACGATAGCAAGACTTGCAGCTAGCGCCATGAATTATCTACAACGTTCCTCCTCCCTCAATTTCCCTCATCTTTCACCCTCATTCCTGACTGCTTCATCCGAACGGCTGTCACATCACTGTGCCATAACTAGGACAGGTAATCCTATCATCATGAGAAAAGGACCAACGAAAAACCGTCGCGCGAAACTACTCTCTCGTTCGACCTCATGTCTTTGAGACTCAAAATTGAAGTTCTCACGGCCGTCATCGCTTGGGGTCGATCCAGACTCTATCAAAACACCACCGGACTGGTTTTAATGAATTTCAATGACATCTTTGAATACGGCCTATGACTATAATCTCTTTATTAATCTTCAACTTCCAAGTTAACCTTGAAGTTGAGGATCAGTAAAGTGGCTATTAATAGGAGTAGGAGGTTGGGCGGCGAAACTGTTAATTATATAGCTAATGTCTGCTGACTATACTAAAAATCCAGTGATAGTTTAGACTCCATTACCTTAGATGTACTTGTTCTATTTAAATTCTCCATTCGGTCGTCCCGCTGTTATACTTGGATGTAACGTTAAAAAAATAAAAAACCCAATCAGCGTTAGACATGAAATGCAATAAGAAGCATTCATCATCCCCTGCACCTAGGCTCCAATACTAAACACTGTTTAACTAACCTTCTCCAATTTCACTACACTAGAATAATCAATTAACCAGCACCGGCCGGCTTTTTGGTCATCACCACTAAATCCAATAATCTTTTATTTTGAGCTCCTCACCTTTCGGTGCGTTTGTCTAAGTATGGACGTGTGTATGAAGGTAAGCTTGTCCTTATATGTAAGGTGATAAAACGCAATCCTTATTTCAAAAATTAACTACTTTGCCTACTTCAAGATTCATTTCCTTCATATATCCCACAAAATCACTGGGTTTTTGGGTAGTATCCAACGCGATTTCATTATATTAACTTCAGTCTGGAACCGGTTGCTCTATGAAAATTGACCTTCCAGCTATTTGTTCCAGACAATTCATGTAAATAGAAATCTAAAATTCCGCCACATACTGTACATTAAATTAATATGACAACGTCGGGTTTCTCTAATTCTCTACTTTTTACATGAGTTTGTACATTTGGCCCCGTCTAAGACATAAATTTAAAAATCGATATCATTTAGTCTCGCGCCCTTTAAGTGTCTTTGCCCACAACTGGCCGACTTTTTAAACAAAGGGAACGTAATACTTCATCCTGTTCTTCGGGTCATATTGTCGTTTGAGCTGTCTCAACTTCTGAAGTCTCCACTTGTCCCAGCCGTAAACTGCCTCGAGAGGCTCGTCACCGTTAGCGTAGTTAACATAGGCTCGGAGGTGTGCTGGATCACTGCTTCCTTCCAGCAAGAAATTTCGTAGCGACTGT